CCAAAGCTCTTAATGTGATTATAATAATTATTTCTTTCCTATAATTTTTTTTTTTTTTAATAAACAGCCTCTTTTGAAACGTCGCTGGGGGAAGCCAAGACTCCAGCTGAGCTCTGGCCCGCAGGAAGGAGCAGGGGCTGGGGGAGCGTGCGAACGTGCGGGGGTGCGTGCAGGCAAGCACGTGTGTGCGGGAGCGCGCGGGCGCCCGTGGGGGCACCCTGGGGTCGGGGAACACACTCCACTGGAGCTTGTGAACGTGCTTGGAGCTATGAAAACCCAATGGTTCCCCGGGGACAAACAAGCAGAGGGGTTCCTCTCCATCTCTCTCGGTCCAGGTGCCCCATCGAACCCCTCCTCACAGCCCTGCTCTCCTGCTCCTCTGTGTGGTCCCCCCCAGTCCCAGGGCCGGGCTTTGAAATCTGTTGAAAAGAGACCCTTTTTGCCAAAATAAACAGCCTGTCATGTTAAATTACTCTCCCTTCCTCTCTACCTCCCCTGCCTGCGTCCCCACTCCCCATCACAGCTTTTTTGCCGGGGGCCGTGCTGCTCTGGGCGGGCTCCCAGCCCCAGCACGAGGCTCGTGGGGCACAGGGGTGCCGCCGCTGGGGCTGGTGCGGAGCCGGGGTGCTGGGGCAGAGCATCACCTACCTCCCGCATCCCGGTCTCCCTGTCCCCCGCCAGCTCCTCCACCCACCAGCTCAACCCCCCAGTGTCTTTCTGCTGGGTGGTGATGGCATCTTGCAGGGTCTGGGGCCCGGTGGTGACGCTGCGCATGGACTGCTACGGAGGGGCGAGCTGGGTGAGGGACGCCGGGGGCTCGCTGCAGCCCCTCGCCCAACCCTGCCATATCAAGTGCTCCCATGCCCCCTGGGTTTTTTCCTCTCTCTTGCTTGCCCTTGCTCTTATTTTTGGGTTGTTTTCTCTCTCCTGTTTCTAACAGAACGAAAATTCATAGAGCCATAAAATACCGAGATGGAAAACGAGCCATTAGCTCATTCAGCCCGGCCCCTCTGCCAGTGCCAGGCCATTCCCCGCCAGCCTCCCGATGACTCCTCCAGCCCGAGCACTGCGCGCTCCAGCCATGTCTTCCACGGCCTAACTGACCTTCCTCCTAGGAGATTTTCCCCCACGTCTCACCTCCGACGGAGCTGTGCTACGTTTGAGCCTATCACTGGGTTACCATCCTGGCGCTGCCCTGAATGCGCAGCCCTGTGCCGTGCCCAGCTGCATGTCTCACCCCACGCACGGCACAGCCCCGGGCAGGGCTCGGCTCTCCGGCATTCTGTTGCTTCCTCTGCACGGGATGGAGCTTCTGCTGTCTTCCCACCATCCTGACCTGCGCCATCCCCTCCCCACACCAGCTCCTCTCCCTCCTGCCTGGGCGGCCGTCTGCCTCAGCCTCCCCTGGCACCCAACTCTGGCGCTGGGGCGGCAGGGAGGGATGCCAGCAGGCGCAGGGTGGCCTCACGACCCATGGCCCCCATGCACAGGTCACAGTGCCGGACCACCTCCCTCCAGCAGGCAAAGCACAGGCAGGGGCCAGACTGGTCATGCTGAGCTGCCTGCTTGGCCTTGGTGGCTGTTTCCCTGCTTTGAGGGGGACCCCCCCCTCTGCACCCCCGCACCACCGAGCTGCCCCCCAGCCCAGGGCGTCGGGCAGCATCCGGCAGTGCCTCTGGCTGCTCCCACCTCTGCCAGCTGGCCAGCTGTGTCGCCAGATGTGTCACCAGCTGTGCCACCAGCCAGCACTGCTCCCCAGCCAGCTCTTCCTTCTCGTGCTGTGCCTGCAGCAGGGCTGCTGCCTGCGCCTGGCAACAGCAGGCTAGCTGCTCCTCCAGGGCCTGCTCCCAGCCTCTTGCCTGCAGGGGAGAGGAGGAGGAAGGGGAAGGGGAAGAGGGAAGAGGAAGGGGAAGGGGAAGGGGGAAGAGGAAGGGAGAAAGGGAAAGGGGAAAAGGGAAAGGGGAAAGGGGAAAAGAGAGAGGGGAAAGGGGAAAGGGGAAAGGGGAGAGGGGAAAGGGAAAGGGAGAGGGAAAGGGAGAGGGAGAGGGAGAGGGAGAGGGAAAGGGAAACAATGGGAAAGGGAAAAGAGAAAGGGAAAGGGAAAGGGGAAAGGAGAGGGGAGAGGGGAAAAAGAAAGGGGGAAGGTGAAGGGGGAAGGTGAAGGAGGAAAGAGAAGGTGAAAGAGGAAGGAGAAGGTGAAGGAGGAAGGGGGAGGGGGGAAGGAGGAAGGGGAAAAGAGGAAGGGGAAAGGGGAAGGCCTCAGCCTGTGTGAAGGGGCAGAGGGCAGCATTTTGCAGCACCCACCTCTCGACAGTGCCACCCAGAGGTCTGCGAGGTGCAGGTGCCAAAGGCAGCAAGGAGCTGTGGGGGGGTCATGTCGCACTCGGTCCTCCCAGAACCAGACCTCTGCCAGCAGTGGGACCAGGATGCCAGGGTCATGCTGCGGGGTCAGCCAGCACTGCCCACCAAGGAGGGCATGGTTCCCCCACCAGCACCAAGCCACTCGGGGGGACTGCCCTGTCTCCCCACCCTAATGAGCCTTACCTTCCTACAGTACTGCTCCCGCTCCCAGTTCAGTTCCTGCGTGACACCCGTAGCCTCCTCCAGCATCCCTGCCGAGTGCTGGCTGAAGGACTGTCCTGGCTGCTGCCACAGCAGGGACTCCATCTGTGACAAAGTGATGCTCCTAGGGCATGCAGCAACCCTGCCACCAGTGAGCCGTGCCCCACCACCCCTGGAAAAGTGGTGGCCTGAGTCTCTCTGCCCGCTTTTCCCCACATCAGGGCCTGAAGCAGTCGTCTCTTCTGCCTGGCTTGGGCTCAGCATCCTCCAGGATGAGCCCAGACCCCTCTGATGGGGAGGGTGAAGCCCCCAGGAGCCCTGCTTTGGCAGCAGGGAGTCCTGCTGCTTTTGGGTTCCTCTCTGGGTTGCCAGCCAGCTTGTTCTCCCCACATGATGGAGGAGGGCAAGACTGAGCTGCACACTCAGCCCTGGTCGGGACAGCGGTTGTCACGGGGGACTGAGTGCCCCCTGCTCAGGTGGGGTGAAACCGGGAGCGCAGGGCTCAGGTAAGGAGGTGCAGAGCCTGTCACCTGCTGACAGGGGTTTAAAATCTGGCTGGGGGTCCCCAGTCCTGGGCACCCCCAGGCTCCAGGTGGTGAGGAGCCTGGTGTGGGCTCCCACTCACCTCTGTGGCTCTGTATTGCAGGTGCGTGAGGATGCTCTGTGGGTTGAAGCTCTGGCCCTGCTCCCTCTTGGAAGGCAGGCAGGGCTCCCCGGAGCTCAGCTGGCAGAAGGACAGACGGACAGACCCATGCCTGGAGGGCAGCTCCTCAGCCACGTGGGACTGAACAAGGCAGGAGGACTAACTGGAAACAACCCTAGGGAGATCCAGAAACCTCATCTGGGCTGTATAAAACAGCCATAAAGAGTCTGAGCCACAGGAGGTGGGAGGACCAGCCGTGAGCCCCATGGCTCTCTCTCCCCTTCCCAGAAGTGGTCCCAGGGCCCCACGCTCAGCTGTGACCCCCATCTCACATGGGTTCCCACTGCCGCAGAGCCTCCCCCGCTCCCTTCCCTGCTCTGACCAAGGGCAGGAACGGTTTGCAAGGAAGCCGGGGATTACTGAAGCACGCTGTCCTGCTAGGAGAGCCCTGCTCTGGGCCGGTAAAGCCAGGGAACCTGCCCTGGGGAGAGCACAGCATGCACCCTCCTCTCTGGGATTTGTGGGAGATCCTGAAGGACTGAGTGCAGGTAGCAGGCTACAGCCAGGAAGGCTGTGCAGAACCAACAGCCAGTGTCTGCGCTGTTGTGGCCGGCGCTGCCCTAACTCCGGGCAGCCCCGGGGCTAAGCTTGTCCCGGGCAGCTCTCGGTAGGCGGAAGGTGACCGAGACCCCGCTCCCATCGGAGCACCGGCCCCAACCACAGCCCTTGCCTCAGCACCATCTGCTCCTCCTGGCGGCAGCCGGGCCGAGGACCGCCACCTCCCGCTGCCCGCCGGTTTTGGGGCCGAAAGCCCCGGGTTGCCAGTCCGTCCCCCCGCCTCGGGCCGATGCTCCCCACCGCCCACCGCCGTCGCCAGGCAACCGCGCCGCCGGGCCGCGCCGTCGCCATGGTGACCGCAGCCGCCGCGCTTCGGGCGTGGCGGGGGCGGTGTTGCCGCGGTGACGGTGGGGCCTACCTGGGGGCGTGGCCTACAAGGGAGGTGGGGCGGGGCCTACGCGTTGAGCTGGGCGGGGCCCGGGGGTGTCTGCCCTGCTGAGGGGCGCCGGGAGCTGTCCGCAGCAGGCCGGGGCCGGGGCCGGGGCCGGGTGCAGGGCTGGGCCCAGGCCCAGGCCCAGGCGGTTCTGCCCAGCCAAGGGGCACCAGGAGCTGCCCACCCCTTCCAAGCTTAAGCCTGAGCCTGTGCCTGAGCTTAAGCCTGATCAAGCCGTGGGCTGGGCCCACAGGGCTCTGCTGAGCACCTGCATGGCAGATGTGGGGTCCCACAGCCCTCCCACAGCCACCGCAGCATAGCCCAGCTCCGGCGTGAGCCCGCTCCCAGCTCCCGTGGGTGCAACACAAGTCGGGAAGCAGACCTGCCCTGGCAGCCCCAGGCAGCTGGGCCTGCCGAGCCAAGCTGTGCCAGGGCGGGAGAGTGGTGGGTCGCCTTCACCTGGCACTGGCTGTGAGGAGATGCTATCGGCAATGCAGCCCCGGTGCCAGGAGAGGTGTGGGAGGCCACAGCGTCGTCCTGGCGCGACCCGCCGGCTGAGTATCCCTTGTCATCCTGCTGGACTGCCTGAGGGGCCATGGTGTGACTCGGTACCCCGCCCTGAGTCTGCCCTGGGGGGACACGGTGCTCCCGGCAGCTCTCCCTGGCGCTCACCCAGCAGTGGTGCTTGTCAACGCCCGGCTGCGGCTTCCCTCTGCCCGCCCTGCACAGATCCCAGCCCTGCCCTACCTGCCCACGTATTTTCACTCCCGCTCAAAGCAGGCTTGGGACGGCCGTGGAGCTGCCATGGCAGCCAGCGCTTCCCACTGGCACAGCTACCTCGGGGTGATTGTGTCCCGCGAGAGGCAGCGGCTGGAGCATTTCCAGCGGGCTGAGGACATATTGCTGACCCTGCTGGAGGGCGTCCATGCCAGGGAGCCCCGCTTCCTTGTAGACTACGCCAGGAACCTGGAGGCCTTTGAGTTTGCTCTCTGCGCCTCCGAGGATGCTGTCACCATGGAGGTCCCCCTGCGGATCGATGGTGATGCCCTGAGGGTGCTGGCATGCCGGCCTGGGGACACCCCAGCCGGGCACTGTCCAGGGCTGGGCACCTTCTGTCTGGAAGTGCCCTCTCCAGGGACGGGCTTGGAGGACTGGACCAGCACTGTGGATGTGATGGAGCGGGGAGATGGTGCGGGGTGCCTGGTTCCGGGCAAAGTCCTCCGGCACCTAAAAGAGCTCCTTGTTTCGGCCATCGTGCGCTGCCAACGCCTCTTCCTGCTTCAGCCAGGTGCGTATGCCAGCATGGCTCTTCCCCAGCCAGGAGCTGCCTCCAGCACAGCTGGGGAGGCCAGCTCGGTGGTGGTCCCTGTGCAAATGGGCTGAGGCGTGAGTCCCCAGGTGCGTGGCCCACCCAAAGCCTCCAAGAGTGAGCAAGCACCCTGCTGTGCGCTGGGACAGGCTTTGCCCTCAGCTAAGGAAGGGGAGATGCAAAACTACTTCCTGCCATCCCACGACAGCAGAGTTATCCTCGGGCATCTTCACCCTGGGCTGATGGCACCCTTCTTGGTGGGTGGCAGCTCCATGCAGGGTTCACCCACCCCTGCAATTAGTCCCTGGAGAGGGTTTGCTCAGGGACTTGACGTGTTTGGCTCGCCCTAGCCACATTCCCCCCATCTCTCCTGGCCTCTGAGTGCCCCCTGCTCCCTGTAGGAGGCTGTTTGGAGGGTGAGCTGGGAGTGTGTCAGGGCTGGAGTGGGACCTTAGTGCATGGGTCTGACCCTGCACACACATGGGCCCCAGCTGGGAGCAGCATGCCTGGGAAGGGCACGGTGGGGAAGGGACCCTGGGAATGCCCATAGGGGTCCCTTCAGCTTCTTCATGCGTTTCCATCTCCAAAGGTGCTTCTTGAAGTAAATCTCAGCCCCGATGAAAAGGTGATGTGAGAGGACCAGAGGGTCTGAAAGTCCCCAGTAAGCCCACCATTCCCTCCTTCCTCCATGGCCAAGCCAGAGCCCTTCATCTTCCTCTACCTCCTCAATCTGAGACTTTTCCTGGTTCATTTTTCTTGGACTACATTGTTTTTCTTGGCACCATTCAGCTACCCAGCAGCATGGCCCCGTTCAGCCACTTGGGCCTTCCTGCTGTGCCCACACCCGCTGGCCTGGCCCTGAGCCCTGCTGGAGCGATGCTCCTTCCCGAAAACCACCCCAGCAGAGTTTGGAGAACAGCTTTTGCCAGGGAACTGCAGCCAAACTGCAGTGCTGGAAAGGGATGAGTCGAATGGGGTGGGACATGCCCACGGGCGTTGCGGCACATACCCAGTTCAGCCTGTGGGACCAGCTGTGGTAACCTCGTAACCGCAGCCAAACCCTCTATGTCTAGGTGACCTCAGCGCCGAAAATCTGCAGGAAGATGCCATGGAGCTCTCCCTGCTGATCCGTGGTGGCTGGAAGACCATCCGCTTTGACATTGTCCCAGTGGTGAGGAGGCGGCAGGAGCCGCTCTGGCTCAAAGGGCAGCAGAGTGACAGGGGCTTCCCCAAAGGCAGCCTCCGGAAGGCCATGGAAGAGGCCCATTTTGTCCCTGCCTCTCCCCATTGCTGGAGGTGAGTGGCTTGGCCGCGCATATAGCGGGGTGACCCTGCCCCAGGGATCCCCCCTGGCTGGCAGCACTGCCGGGTGTAGCCAAAAAAGGGATGGGGAAGTGGAGGGACATGTCAATAGTGGAGTGAAGTCACCCCCTTGTGATGCCCAAACCCACTGCCCTGTGTTGGGGAAAAAACCTCAGCCAAATTTGAGACAGCTCAAGAAAGAGCAGGGGATGCAACAGAAGGAGCCCCCCCAAATTGTTCGTAGGAGCTGAACCCTGGCCCACGCAGAGGGTGGCAGCTCTCAGATCCCTGCTCAGGCTTCAAGAGCACTGTGATGAGGTGCCTCCCAGGGCGGGCTGCAGGAGGGAGCAGGGCCAGGGTGACACACATCTCACCTGCCAGCACAGCTACCCGGCCCCAAGGAGGGGCCAAGCATCTGGCTGGACCAGCCCAGGCTTATTTTGGGCACAATGTAGTCCAGCCAGATGCTCGGCCCCTCCTTGGGGTCCATCCAGCCTCCCCTCTGGGGCGGCCTGCAGCCCTCCCCACTGCCACGTAGGGGAGCACAACCCAGCTTTGCCTCTCCTCTTGTCTCTCCCAGGAAGGCAGGAGCTGCTCAGCAGCATTCCCATCATGCTGCAAATCTCCCTGGTCCCTCTTCATCAGAGGCAGGTGCAGGAGGTGGATCCAGGATGCTGTGTTCCTGGGGCCACATGGGTGGCTGGGGGAGATCCCCACGCGTGCCAGGCCACTGCAGGTATCCTCTCCCCAGCTGAAAGGATGCGGGTCTCCATCCTCCCTCTCAGTGGACCCCACTTTCTCTCGCCAGATCCTCCACTCATCTCCCCATCCTGAAACTGCTCCAGGCAGTGGACATGCTGAAGGGACGCCATCTGGACAGTCTTCGCCTGCTTGATCAGCTACGCGTCCAGGACTGGGAAGAGGAGGCTGGGAAAGGCGGTCTCACTTTCAACCACCTGAAGGTAGGTGGGTTCTGCTGGTGGGACAACGGCTCTCTGAGCAGGCAGAGCTAAGGCTTCTCCCCTGCACCCTGCCACAGCTGAGTCGCTGCTGGAAGAAGGTTCCAAGCAACAAGCCTGAGTGCCTGCAGTGCTTTGGGATGTACCACCCCATGGCTGTGTCTGGAAAGGATGCACGCTGCTGGCCATGGTCAAAGGGGTTTGATCCTTCCTCCTTGCAAACAGCAGGCACTTGCTGGATTGAACGAGCAACCTCCAGCCTGAAGCACCCTGAGCGTTAAGAGCTGGGGGTCTGTGCCAATGTGCCAGGCATCCTCTGGCACAGGCTGCCTGTGTCTGCAGAGGCCATGCTGGGGATTGCATTGCTGTGCCTGCCATGCTGCAGGTTGTCCTGTGCCCCAGTGCACTGGGAGGTGCAGAGCTGAGGGTGGCGTTTCTTCCGACAAAACCCTCTTCTCCCCACCCAACCTGTTTTTGGCACTCTGGACCCATGCCAGCTGGTGGCACTGATTGGGAAAGGGGCCATGCTGGGGACAGTACCTGGTGGCACAATCCAGGTGTGCCCTGCCTTGTGGTGGCTCTCTGGGCTGGGGTGGAGAAGGAGGCAAAGCTGTCTTCTGCTGAGAGAATGGCTCCAGCTCTAAGTAACCCTAATCCTGTGCGTTTTGCTTTATGTTGCATTCTTTGATGTTTTGGGTTTTTTTAAAAAAAGAAGGGCACAGTATGCATCTGTCCTTCAAAAAAGCATCTTCTGCTCCAGCCCACCGTGTGCATTGACCGTTAAGCTATGCCAAAGAAGCTGGCATGGCAGCTGCTGGGGGTTCACCTGTCTTGCCAGTGGCTGGTAGAAACCAGAAGCGGGGTTTTTTACTATTGCTTAGTGCCTGCAGAAAGCTTGGGTGTGTTGTTTGGGGCTGCTGCAGAGCTGGGACCTGCCTTGGAGCTGAGACGGGGGCTCTTTGGGGAGTGAAGCAAAGGTTCAAAACTAAGGGGTGGTGGGGCATCGGCTGCGCCTGCAGCAGCCTCAGCAGCAGCTCCAAGAGCCTGCGCAGCCCTAGGCTGCTGAGGACGTGATGTCTGTGTTGAGGGCTCAGCCCCATGGGTGGTTGCACGGTGACCTGCAGGGTGTGAAGGCACGGCCTTTGTGGGGAGTGCTCGATCCCACACCCTTCTCTCCCTCCCTGCAGATGGTGCTGCTGTGGAGCATGGAGCTCTTCCCCTCCCCAGAGGACTGGCAGGACCTGGAAGGCTCTGTCTACAGGCTCTTGGTGATCCTCCTCCGCTGCCTGGCCAGCCGGCACCTGCCCCACTTCCTGCACCCGGAGGAGAACCTCTTCCAAGGAGAGGCCCTGGACCTCACCTCTCTCTACCATAAGGTGGAGAGCTTCGCCCAGGACCCCCGACGCTTCCTCCGCTTCCATTTTGGCCTCCCTGCACGCACTGACAGCTGGCTCGCGGACCCCAGCACCCGAGCCCTCCTGCACCTCCCCACCGAGGACAGGTCCTACTGGGACACAGCCTACTTTGACATCCTGCTCAGCCAGGTAATGCCAGACCCTCAGCTGGTCTCACAAGGCAGAGCGCGGCAGTGCCGGAAACTACCTGGTCTGGGCAGCTTAGGATGTGCTGGAATTTGCCCCCCAGAGCCCTCCAGCCCTTGGCAGCCGCTGGCATTTGCTGCCCAACCCTATCGTGGAGGCTGTGGGAGGCTGGCAGTGCTGGAGCACAGGGCTCAAGCAGAGTGGGGAGCCCTCTCTCCTCACTCTGCACCTGCCTCTGCTTAGTTCCAGGTGTACCGGATCCAGGACAGCGCACGCCGCTCGGCAATGTCCCAGCTGCTCTCCAAGATCCAGCAAGTAAACCCCAAGCAGAGCTGAGCAGAACCCCGCTGCCACCCCAGCTGGGTGACTCAAAACTCCGGGGGGGTGCAAGGCGAGCTACGGAGCCAGGGGGCAGCATGCTGCCAAGTAGCTTTATTGAGGAAAGATGGTAGCAGGGAGCGAGTGCCTGTCTGCTGCTGCTGGGTGGGGATGCACGGCCTCTTGGCTCCCCTAGTAGAGCTGGGTGCCGGGGCGGGTGTTTCATCCCAGGATACCTAATCTGAGGGGATGGCTGGCACCCTGTGCTGCTGGGCTCTGGTGCAGGGATGGCTGAGGGTGATGGTGGTGGGAGGGGAAAGGACCTGTGGTCAGATCCTACATCGAGCCCTCTTGTCAGCTTGCAGTGGGGCCCCGGGGCCAAGGGAAAGGGAGGAGCTGGGGGGTCAGGCCATCAAGGTGAGGAGTGACCCTGCGCGGGGACTGGGAGAAGGGGTTTTGAGCCACGTCCCTTGTTTGCAGAGCTGCAGCCCTCACCTCCATGTCCCCCGCTCTTCCAGCTTCTCCTTCCTGCTCTGGCTCGGGTTGCTGGGTGTTGCAGTGTTTCCTGGCAGCATCCTGGAGAGGTAGGGGAGCCCCTCTGCCTGCCAGCTGCCTGCAGCCGGGCATGGGGGGGAGCGCCACACCGCCTCATCCGGAACCCCCCTTTGCAGGGGTGCTCAGAGCCTGCTGCGTTGGCAGCACCGGAGGGCGTCTCGCAGGGCACTCAGCACACGGTCCACATTGCTGCTGGTCGAGTTGCAGCCCATGAGGCCGATTCGCAGGACCTGGGAGGAGAAGGGAGACCATCTCCCTGCAGCACCCACTTTCGCAGCTATGCCCTGGTGCCACCTCCCTGTGAGCAGAGTGGCCAGCAGCAGAGTGCAGGCTCCCGCGTGGAGCAGGGGGTGTGCGAGGAGCAGCCTGCACGCGGCTGGGTGTAAGTGCATGTGCACAGCTCCCTGCTTGATCCTATTTAACACACATTTCTTCTAAAGACGTGTCACCCCACTAGTTATGTGTGCAGTTATTCAATTATGTGCAGCAATTGTGTGTGGTTAGGAGCCGCTATGCATTGCTGCAGGCGATGGGATGCATCCAGCTGTGTTTGCTGTTTGCAGCCAGAGAGCACCAGTTAATCATGGGGTGCACTACTGATGGATGTGACCGCAGCCAGGTTCAGTGCCCAGCCATGGGCAGTGGGAGGGGAGGACGCTGCCCACCTGGCCCACCGAGGGACCCAGGCCCCCAGCGATCTCAATGGCGTGGTTGTCCATGAGAAAGGCTACAATGTCCTTCCAGTTGTATCCCTCAGGCACCCTGACGGTGGTGACGGTGGGAAGTCTCACCTTCTGGGGAAGAGAGAAACCGGGTTAAATCTGCAGGTCCTGGCTGTGGCCCTGTCCCCCCAGTGAGCCTGGTAGCCTGCCAGGAGATAGCATCACTGGGAGGGCAGTTTTTTCTCCAGCATCAGAAGCTGCCCAGGCACATCTCCAGCCGTGCAGGGCCATGTCCTCACGCTGCCCCTGCACCACGGTGGTGGGCTCGCCCTGCACCCACCTCCTCCTTCACAAAGAGCTCAAGCCCCAGGTCACGCAGCCCCTGGCACAGCTTGGCACAGTTAGCCCGGTGGCGCTCCCAAGAGCTCTCCAGACCCTGTGGGCAGAGAAGAGGGAGAAGATCCCGGGACCCACTGCTCCCCCAAACCCCACCGGCACTGCTGGTGCCCCCCTGCCTGCATGGCACCGCTCACCAGCTCCGCCAGCATGGCCAAGCCTTCCCGCAGGCTGAAGAAGCTGTTGATTGGTGCTGTGTGGTGGTACCTGCAACACCCAAGAGGCACCCAGGTGGTTTAGGCCGGCCCCGTGGCAGAGCAGTACCCAGCTTGCAGTGGGGGGGAACCGGCCTGTGGCCTCCTCCCTCCTCTGCACCCAGCACAGAGGGGATGCAAATCCCTCAGGGCTGCTTTGTGACCAGTGGACAGGGTGAGGGGGAGACAAGGGCGAAGGCTGTGGATGGGACAGCTGTGACCATCTGTCCCGGGACAGCCCGTTCTCACCTTCGCGGCTCCCCATCACAGCCCCAGTAGTTTCCCAGCCAGCCCATGTCCAGATAGAAGGACAGGGGCTTCGTCTTCCTCCTCAGCATCTTCTCCCTGGCAAAGCAGAGTGCTGGGGAGGAGCCGGACCTTGACCCTGCCAGTTCCAGGGTGATGTCAGTCCTGTGGGAGGGCCCCCCCCCCAGCAAGTGGCTTGGCTCCAGCACCCATCGCTGCCCAGGGATGGGCCGGGCTCTGACCCCACAGAGCTGGCAAAGCAAGGGGAGTGACAGCCTCCCCCCAGCCCCATTGCCTTTCCCCCCAGTGTGCCCAGGGCTGCCCTTACCTGGCTCCCTCGCTGAACGAGATGGGGGCACTGCCGGGAGGGGTGTTGAGGACTTTCTGAGACCCCGAGTATAGGACGTCGATCTCTGCCCGAGAAGGGAGGCAGCTCCTTAGGGATCAGAGGCTCCCAGTGGGGACACACTGAGCACCCCAGCCCGGCTGCAAGCGGCGGGTGGGAAGCACAGGGTGGCACACGCTGCAGGTCCTGCTTGTGGTTGGCCAGCTTTGGGGGACACCCTGGCACTGCTGACAGTCCCCCAAGGGGAACAGGCTCTCTGGCTGCAGCTGGACCAGTTTCTAGTGCTGCTAGCCCAAAATACAGGCAGTGGGGCTGATCCCACTGCCCTCCCTCCCTGGCCCAGGCGTGAAGCCCCCTTGTCCCCTGGGTGTCCCTGATGGTACTGTGGCTCTTACCCTGCTGGTCCATGAAGATGGGGGCTCCCCCAAGGGATGCCACCGCGTCCACGAGCAGCAGGCAGCCATGCCTGTGGGAGGACAGAGCTCAGCCTGGTGTCCCTACCACCTCCTCTTGCCACCCCTCTTCCTCCAGCCCTGGCATCCCAGTCCCCCCAAGGCCACATATCTCACTGGCACCAACCGCTTCCAGCACAACAGAGCCAGAGGAGAGCCTGGGGCATATAAATCCCAATGCCCCAATCCCCAACGGCAACCTTGGGGTGCTGCCAGCCCCTGCGGGTGCCCGCCGTGCACTGACCGGTGACACAACTCGCCCAGCCCCTCCAGTGGCTGTAGCACCCCTGTGGAGGACTCCCCGTGGGTGATGAAGAACACTGAGGGCTTGTACCATGCCAGGCCCTGCATGAAACAGAGGGGAAGGTGACTGCTCCTGGAAGACAGCTCGCGCCTGCTGCCCCACACTGCAGCCGGCACTCACCTCCTCGATGTCCCACAGAGTGAAGTACTCGCCTGGGGGCTTCAGCAGCTCATGGACATTGGCTCCTGGGAGGGATTTGGGCAGAGGGAGAGTGAGGTTTGGGGATGCCTCCCACTGGGCAGCCACCTGCTCCACGAGGGAATCGATCATGCATAAACCAGGAGCACGGCCGCCTGCCAGGGTCTGGCCTCCCGTGGATTTGCCCAATGGAAAAGCCATAAACCACCGTAAGCGGAGGGACATCACCCTGGAAAAAACCTGGAGCGCCCTCCGGCTGCAGAAGCCATGTCACTGGCCACTGCTGCTGGGATGGGGACAGCAAGCCAGGGGTCACGTTCTGGCATCCCACCCGCGAGCCTGGTCCCCTGAGCCCTGCCGGTGCCGTCTGGCTGTCCCCAGCATACCCAACCTCCTGGTGATGTCAGCAGCACGTTGTCCCCAGATGCCATTGACGGCCACCAGCGCGGTGTCACCATGCTCCAGGAGGTTGAGGAGGGCAGCTTCCATGGCACAGTGGCCGGTGCCGCTGATGGCCAGGGTCAGCCGGTTCTGCGTCTGGAAGGCGTACTGGATGCCCGCCTTGATCTCGTCCATCACCTGTAGTGGCAGGGGACCAACTGACATCGCTATTGTCCCCCTCGCCCTGGCAGAGCTGTCCCAGCCCCTCGTGGGGCATGAGGGAGAGGAGGGGAGGGGAGGAAGGCTAGGCTGGGGCAGCTCACCTGCAGCACCTCAGGGTGCATGTGGCCCAGGAGCTGCTGGCTGCCTGCAGCCAGGATGCGGGGGGGCACGTTGCTGGGCCCTGGCCCAAGTAGCAGCCTCTCTGGCACAGCCAGGGGCCGGAGCAGCCCCTGGGGCGGGGGGACGCAGAGCGGGCTGGTGGCCATGGTGCGCCTTGCCATCCCCAGGAGCCGAGCCCGGAGGAGAGGAGCAGTGGAGGCTGCCTGTGCAGCACCCAGCACTGCAGCACAGCTCATCCTGTGCCCGTAGCGTCCAGCGTCCCCGTGGACCTTGACTCTGGGGCTTGGTGCTCCCCCCACTGGACCGGACTCTGCCCCTGGCCTCCTCCTTGTCCAGTTAATGTGCCACCAGCACCATCCCTGCTGTCTCAGCCACTGCATTTTGGGGGGGGTCCCCCCTTGCTAGCGCTGGGGGAGGTTGCTCCTCAGACATGCCAGCCTCCGGGACTGGCAAGCACCCATGCAAACCCTGTTGCCGTGGTCCCCAGGACACGGTGGTTGATGGTTCCCAACACCATCTCAGCAGGTGGGATCCCTGCTCCTGGGCATGCAGCTCCTGTGCCATGGGATGGTTGCACTGGGACAGGCCCAGCGCAGCTGCCACGGTCACGACTCCTCCAGCAGCAGAAAGCTCTGTTGGCCAGGTCTCCCTGACCAAGGACCTGCCTTGCAGAAAGGACGTCTGGCCGAGCAACAGCCGCCTGGAGGAGGCTGGCCATTGGGATGGTTTGCACAAGGGCAGAGCCATGGGTGGGACACAGTAGCAGTCCCCACCATGGCGAGCTGTGCTCTGCGGGCTCAGCCTGGCTTGAGGGCATCACAGCGTGTCCTGATGATGCCACAGGCCACGCGTGCCTGTTCAACATGCTGTGCCTCTCACCCACCATGTGTGCCCACAGTCCAATTGTATGATGCCCATCCTCCGGCATGTTCTCTGCCATCCATACTCTGAAACATGAACGAGCTGCGTGCCGCCGGCTCCTGGCAGGTTGAGGAGCAGGTCCCTGGCCAGAGGAGCCACTCGGTGAACAAAGCTTTGGGCTGGGGATTACAATTATGGGGTGGAAAATGCCCCACCATAGCAGAGCTGGCACCGGTGGCCGGTGCTGAAGGCATTTGGGGTGGGTGCATGCAGCTGACATGGTCCCAGGGGAGAGCACTTCTGCCCAGGCAGCCGGACAGTCGGCTCTGAGAGGAGCTGGGAGCCGGTGTAGCCAACACCACATGGATGGTGGAAACTACAGTTAGCCTGGGCACTGCTGCCCGGCCATCATCTACCAGAGTGAGGACAAGAAGTCCTGATGTCCCAAGAGGTCCCAAGCCAAGTCCTCATCCTGTGCCCCAGCCATGTGCTCCGCTGGCTGAGGGGTTTGCTGCCGGATGCTCGCAGCATCGACAAAACGCTCAGTCCCTAAAACACCGGCGGGAGGCACCCGCTGGAGACCCGCCACCACTGCGGCGGGTGGGTGGATGAAGACCCCTCTGCGGGTGGACCCCCCTGCTGCCTGTCCTCCAGGGAGACTTGAGGAAGGACTGGGGGCAGGGAGGGGACGTGTGGCCTCGCCGTTGGCGTGGAGGGGTGAGGAAGGACGCGCTGCTGGAAACAGCTGGCGGCGAAGGCATAATCTGCTTTCCGCGCTGGGCCTAAATTCCCCGGCGCAGATGGACACGGAGCCGGCCGTGCCACTCCCGGGGGCTGCGGGGC